GATTTGGGGTTAAAACGGCAAAAAGACAATTTCATAGCATATCTTTACAATGATAAGTGACTTAATTTATAACAATATGAGTTATGTTTTATAGCCTGAGCCACCCAAATTCCTGAGGAGATACTGGCGGACCAACAGGGTTTGGAAGAGGGACATGGTGTGGACGAGAAAGGTAAACATGGAACCTAGAATTATCTGTGAATGAGAGAGGGATTAAATCCATTATACATATCAATTTGAATCTTACCAATCTAAATTGTAAAATTTCAGTTCGTTGGGGGGGGGGGGTGTTTACAACCAAACATTTTCAGTGGGGGGGGGGGGGGACAATCCTAGCAAAAATGGTCATTAGTCATTTTTATTAAGGGGCATAACCATAAAGTGGCTGTTTTCTATAGTATACTATATATATCGGCAAAATTATTGGAGGGGGGGGGGGGGGATGTCTCTCTACGGTTCCTACGGCCATGAATCTTATTTTCTTGTGATATTTAAAAACTGGATATAAATTATAGAGGATTTTCATTATCACATAGGATCACAAGTCAGTGCCCTCTACTCAGGAAGTGGCTGTATCCTCATCAACCGCTGAGACTCGTTCCAACCCTTGTCCCAACCACGACAGACAGGAAGCTGTCACTGATGCATCTTCCCCGGCCGCTGAGAATCGTCTTGCCCTTGCCCCTCACTGTAATGAGCAAGAAGCTGTCAGTGACAGGGTTGGTATAATAACATTTGTTACAAGAAAGACAACCTTAAGAAAAACAACCTGAATTTTACGTTTCTAATTTTATTTAAGCTTTTAAAGCACTTGATTTTAAAAATTGCGTTTCATTCTAACAAAATTAATTATGAAATTAATATTACATTTGAAAGTTTATTTCTATTCAGATTATCGATGTCGAACGGGAGACGAAGGTGGCAGGTGACAAGGAAGAAGGGGGCACCTCCGGGGAGAGCAGCGAGCTCCACCAGATTGATGACCCGTGTTTTCCACTTACAGACATACAGACAGGGGCTAAGGTATGAGAAGGTCATTTATAAATGGTGGAAACGAAAGGCTAGCGCGCTTCATGAAATATGCCTACATGACAAGTCTGTGTGATTTACACACCAATAACTCACACAAAACTTAAAAACATTCCTTAAATAAATAGCATATTAACTTCACCACTTGTGTTGTATAATATTTTAAATAACATTAATTTTTGTTATTGATTTGGTGGATAAAAATAACATACAACACCAACAAATATTTCTTTCTTATCATATAATCACATATATTCATAGCAATAAGCATATTTATTTATTTATGCACATGGCTCTGATTACATGTATAAATTCCTTTTGATTCATTCTAGGACCAGTCCACCCGGAAGCGGAAGAGACCAGACCAACCTTTCGTGCCTTCAAAGAGACTGAAGACTGCCTTGGTATGCATATTTTTTTAAAAAGTGTTCTTTATAACAGTTTCCTTTATTAAATACATTTTAAAATCCACTGATTTCTTATTAAACTGTTAACTTTTTTTTATTTTGTAGTTTTCTCCAATGGAGATTGAAGTACAGAGCCTGGTGCAGATGTTTGACGCCATGACCCTGTAAGCTGTGTGTCTTTACGTCTGACATAAGACTTTTAACACGTGTGGTTTGGTAGGTTTTTCATGATTAACTGATACAGATAATTGCCACACAGGTAATTGATACTGTACCTTTTTGTATATATGTACATAGTTATTTTTGAATCAGTGTAAATAGTTTTGGATTATTAATTTATAAGTGCATGCTATTTTCTAAAAGTTTTTAAAGATTTCCTTAAGCTTTTATTCTTCGTTTGTTTTACTCATTTGATTAATTTTTCATGGCTGTTTGTTGTTTGTGTTTTATTTTGAATTAAAATTTTTAATTCTTCTAATTTAAGAATCTAGATTCTTTATTAATATAATGATGAGTCAGATTCTTTTTTTCTCGACCTTTTCTTTTTCCATTTTCAAACTGATTTTATCATTAAATTTATATAAATTCATTAATTGAATAAGATATTTTTTTCTAATTTTATTTGATAATTTTTGTTTACAACTTTTTAAAAATAAAATTATTTTACCCCTTACATTAATTTTTTGTGTTTGTTTTGGTATGTTTGCATTTTTGCAACGAAAAACCCCCAGTGTCTCGTTTTGCCTTTTCATGAATATTGTAAATACCTGGATGATTTTTTTTCTCCAATAAATATAAATATATACTTCTCGTCTTTGTGTCGTTTTTTGAGATATGAATAAATGGCCAGCGTTGAAAAGTAATGCCACAACTGCTAACAAGAGGCCCATGGGCCACATCGCTCACTTGATCACATTGGCTGAGAAAAAGCAGAAATCAGTTCAGTCTTGAAAAGTTTACAGGGAGGGGGCAAACTTGAATATGCACTACCTCAGGATGTTTCCATATCAGTGTTACGAATCGTGGCTTTGCTGTTCTTGAGCAGAAGAATTTTAAAGATTTTTTCCCGATTGATTATGTAAAACTCTGATCTCTCCTTGTGGCCCCACCCTTCCCACCCTAAATTTGAGCAAATTTGAATCTACACTACCTGAGGATGCTTCTATTATAATATGACTAATCATGGCTTTGCTGTTCTTGAGTTCTTGTTCTAGATTCCTATATAATATTTTGTAAAACTTTGACCCTTTGTTGTGCCCTCCCCTAACCCCTGGGGGTCATAATTTGAAAACTTAATTCTACAATACCAAATATTGCTACTGTATAAATATGGCTTATAATGGCTTAGTTCTTGAGCAGAAGATTTTTAAAGATATTTCCTATATATTCCTAAAAATTTGACCCACTGTTGTGGCTCCGCCCCGACCCCGGAGGTCTTGATTTGAACAATCTTGAATCGACACTACCTAAGAATACTCCTGTATTAAAATGACTAATAATGGCCTAGTTGTTCTTGAGAAGAAAATGTTTAAAGATATTTCCTAAAAGATACATTCCTGTGTAAAACTTTGGTCCTCTGTTGTGTCTGCGCTCAACCCCCAGAGGTCACGATTTGAACAACTTTGACCCCCTGTTGTGGTCCTGCCCTACTCCAACGGGTCGTGATTAAAACAAACTAGAATCTACACTACCTGAAGATACTTCTAAAACAAGGGCACCGCAAAGCAGAGCATCCCCTCGCAAAAGAGCATATCGATCCTGATATGAATTATTACAAGCTTAACTTCCGTTCCACGCAGGCACGCACTCTCTCACTTACCCCCCCCCCCCCCTCCCAACACACACACACACACACACCCTCACACACATACACAGATTTAATTTTGATGATTTTCAAAATTATGTTATTTATTACAGATAGAAAAACCAAATCTTCGAGACGAGTGTATTATTTAATTTTTCTCTGTTTCAATTTTAAAAAACAATATGGCATAATACAAACGAGTGGATCCTGCAATGGGCGACTTCACTGTAAGTATAATTCAAGCTACATGTTTGTAGCTTAATATGGTGATTGTAATGTGCTGTTGAGAAGTATATGTTTACATGGATGATGCTTGAAAAGTACAGAGAATAACCGTGGAAACGTAAAGCTGTAATTGGCCACTTCCCTGTACGTAGGTAATACGTAGCTAACTAAAATATAGTGAATCATGTTGACCAACATTTCGAACCGATTGCACACAACTCAATATTTACACTTGGAAAAAGTAAACTACTGTATGTTATGTTTTATTACCTCCTCGTTCAATTGTATTTATGTGATTGGAATACGAAAACACACAAAAGATAAATAAAAATGCATATGTACATATATATAAATCAAGGCAGCATTCGATCCCGGTGCAAATTACGTAACTTCCTTTACGCACAAAAGGACAAACTAACCCCCCCCCCCAATTGCGTTACTATATTCCCTCCAACTCCGTTGCGGGGGGATAATAATATAATTAACCATGGCTTTGCTGTTCTGAAGAAGAAAAAAAAATTAAACTAAGACATTTCCTATATATGCCTAGTATGTAAAACTTCGACCCCTCTTGTGGCCCCGGCTTATCCCCCGGGGTTATGATATGAACACGAATTCTTAATTATCTCCCCTTGAAAGAGGGCGTGGGAAACTTAAACCCCCTTCACCCAAGGATACTTTGTATCAAGATTGGTTGAAATTGGCTGCTTGGCCCAGTGGTTCGTGAAAAGAAGTCAAAAATCTGAAGAGTTTACAGACGACAGACGGACGCCAGACACTCTTTGATCAGAAAAGCTCACTTGAGCCTTCGGCTCAGGTGAGCTTAATCAAATGTTAATAACAAAATTTTACATAGTTATTTGCCGATTTTGATTTTTGCCTTAAAATTGCATTCAGTGACAAAAAATACATTTATAAAATATTAGATATTAATTAAATATCAATTTAGAATCTACACTACCCCAGGATGTTTTCACACAAGTTTCATCTTGTCTGGTCCAGTGGTTTGTGAGAAGATCTGTAAAGATTTCTTCCCATATAGTCCAAGGTTAAACTTATTTCCTGGAGGTCAAGATTTGAACAATTTAAAATCTGCACAATCTTAGAATAGTTTCATCTCATCACCTAGGTTTCATCTTTTCTGGTCCAGTGGTTCATGAGATTTTTCCTGTATACATATTGTGGCCCCACTATACACCCAGGCGCTATAATTTGCACAATTTAGAATCTACCTTAGGAAGCTTTCACATAAGATCAATCTTTTCTAGAGGAGATTTTTTAATGGCCTATGTTTTCCTTTTCCTGATTCTCTCCCTTTAGAAAGGGGCTTGGCCCGTCATTTAAACTTTCTTTACCCAACGATGCTTTTTATCAACTTCGGTTACATTGGCCCAGTGGTTCTTAAGAAGAAGTCGAAAATATGAAGGGTTTACAGACGGACGGATGCCGGAAAATAGGTGATCAGAGAAGCTCATTTGAGCTTTCAGCTCAGGTGATCTAAAACTGTTCAGTAGCAAAGCACATAGTCTGAAAGCAAAAATTCTAATTTTTAATAATCTTTGTTACAGTCTTTGAGAGTATTTTTTGGCAATATGAATTTGAAAGACCATACTACAAATTATTCTAATTGAATGAAACTGAATAGTCTGTTGGTTCATCATTGCCCTCCTTTCGGATGAAAATTAACCACCGAATACCTAAATAATCCACCATAGGGTTTCCACCAATAACGTTTAGTGATTCTTGGCGCCCCTTTGGCTTCTGTCCGATACCAGCCCCTATGGGGCCTAATTCACTTGGCATTGGTTGAGGCAATTCTGCAACCAGCTGAATCGTTTTTATGGATTCATCACTGATGATAAAATCATTGAAGTCTATAACCCTCACAGTTTCCCTTACTGCCTCTGTCATGTTCAAACCATTGCTTAACAAAACCTCTTCTTTTTTCTCTGGAGGCCAGTTTTTACAGCGAATGACAGCTTTTCTAGTTGCCATCTTCTATAATGCCAAAAACACATAAATTGAATATTGTCTTATACATAGAACACTAGAAAGATCAAAAACTTAATATGTGGAAAATTGTCATATATCATATGTAAAATTTCCTTAATTGCCACCAAAACAGCAATTTATCGCAAAATATTAAAGCTTACCGGTATGTATGTGAAGTCCTATTTTAATCAGATGAAATACATGTACCTCTCTTCGTTTGGTACAGAAATGATACGGCAACTTTCACTTCTGCTCTCTTCAAACAAGGAATTCTACAGGACAGAATCACCACACCCTAACTGTAGCTGCAGACACAATTTAAACGGTTTATTCAAAAATGTGTGTTGTGAAGCAAGTGGTAAAACGCTGCAACAAATACAAAAACAGAATTACAAAGATGTCAACATACATATTTATGTCTCTGATAAAAGCAAACATTGCTATGCTTTTAAACTGTAGATTATAATACGACACAGATGCAGATCACTGATCAAATACTTGACTAGTTTGTTTGTTTGTTTATTTCTTGTTAAACGTCCCTCTAAAGAATTTTTCACTCAAATGGAGACGCCACCACTTGCCGGTGGAGAGCTGCAAATTTTGACCTATACTCGGCACTTACACTGTAGGGCCATTGAGCAGTGAGGGATCTTTTTCGTGCCAGCACCTACTGCGACACAGGACCTCGGTTTATACGGTCTAATCCGAAGGACCGGTCTCCACGTCCCACAGTGCGATTCGAACCCGCGACGTAAGGATCAACTCCTTACTCTGCGACTCTAGAGCGAACGCTCTATCCACTGCACCACGCGGGCGACTACATGTACTTGACTAGTAACCAAATAACTGTACAAGATGACTTATCAGTCATGACTTTTCAGTTATCAATCAACTAAAACTTATTATTGCATTTTTAATTCCATCACGCCTGTTATACAAAACTTAACAGAATGATGATTGACCTCATAAAATGACATGAATTTGGTGCAGGGACTTATCTAAATATTAACAGGATAGGCAACTCTCGCAAAATCTCGTACAATGTAAGTTGCAGGATTTTGCAGGTCAATTTTAAACATTATGTAATATATCTCTGACTAATGCTCCAGAACAAAACCTTTATTTATCGATCAAAAATTATTCAAGATTTGTTGCTAGCACTGTATATATTCCTTATCTTAGTGTAATTGCATTGTATATCCAAAATCAACACATGCCGTTGATCGGCCGTATTTCTCAGAATAGACAACGTTCACATTTACAAAAGTTATTTCCCTTTGGGGGGGCCAATCTGGGGTCAAGCGGCATAAGGCACTCTTTTCCCTCTTTAAAATTACCAACTTACGGGGCAATATCTTAAAGAATATGTTCATTATGTTATTCATGTTGGTCAATACAGGAACGGATCGAAATTTTCCGATGGCGTCTGAAGTTTGAAAATATTTATAGTTAAAGATACATACCACAAACAAACTTTCTTATCTCGCACTCGATTTTTTTCCAAACTTCCTGCATTTATACGAACCCTCGAGGTCACCCAGTGTATTGATACGGCGGCAAATTCAAAGTCTACGGGGATTTAACATGGTAAACTCGTCCATTAGCGTCTAGATTACGGGGCGGGGAACCAGTTTTTGAAGGGAGTAGTCGTTCTTTCCAAAGTAAAATTCCGAAAAATCAGAGAAAATCAAAGGACGTAATTAAAAGTGTTTTTATTAATAATGTGAGTATTTATTTGAATTAAAATATATTTTAATACTGTACAACGAGTTTTGTCATAAACGCCGAGAAAATAGTCCGCGGCCGAGTATGATGCAGTACAAGTTGTGGATACAGACGTTGAAATGGCCATGGTGGCAGAGGATAGTTTTTTTAATGCCAAACATGTGCCGAGGGGGTATACATATACATGCGATCCATAAAAACATGTACATGGGGACAGTTTTCCAGGGGCTAATTAATTACACTTCATATGCCCATGGCTCACAAATTATGTCAACAAATTACATGTAATCTGCGTATTAGAGTGCACATTTACCAAAAATGCACCTGGGGACTCCCCACATTTTGGCTTGTTTTTCCAAGATTTGGGCCTCATTCACACCCATACAACCCACCCCCAGGCCCGAGCGAGCAGGATAAAACTCCCAGTAGTCTGTAAATCAATGCAAGCCCTAATAAAAATTCACCAATTGATATGGGGTCATTCACCTTCCCTCTGAGATACACACCTTCTTCTAAGGCCTACTGCTTTTCAGCTGAATTTCCTCTGCAACTGACCACGTGTCTTAGTTTCGCATTTACAACTCTGTATATGATAAGCGTCATAGTGACACCTACATGTTGCACATCATTTTTTTCAGCAAGCACTCTGCTACACTGCAAATGTGTCCCATAATTATTCTAATCATTTTTCTACATAAAATATCACATCAAACAGGGGATATCTCAATTTCTTAAGAAATTTGACCGGGTCTTTAGTACGAAACTATCCCCTGCCACCCATGATGATGCAAGAAAGTGTTTTTAAAAACGTAAGTTGTTTATTTTATTTATTTTTTGCTGTTGTTGTTTTACTACCTAATGTACACACAAGAAAGAAGTCTTTCCAAATTGTAAGAATATACCAAAACGCGTGTTATACGTATATTTGGCATTTTAACAGTGCCCCATATACAGAAGTATGTGTTTAAAAAAACGTAAAAAGGTACATATGACACAATCAGCTGATCAAACAATTAGGAAAAAAGCATTAAAATAACACCAAGATTACATGAAGAAAATAACAGCTGGTAAAAACATTATTTTCAATATATGAAAGTGTAGGAACGACTTTACTTTACCGGTTCCCAGAAAAACGCGCTAAAATATAGTGTCGCCGTAGGCGACTTCAATATATATGAGATCGCGTGAGCGATCGAAAAAAATAAAAAATATGAGGTTTTAAGCCTTTTTGACCCCACATTCGAATTCTACGGTTAAAAGTTTAGTTTAAAACTTCGTTTATAAACGAAGTTTTTAACCTCGTTTTCTGAAAAAAAAGTAATAAATGTTGTTTATTCAGTGAAAAGGAGACAAAAAATAATTGTGAGCGAAGCGCGTGCGGCGCATGCTTAGTGCCGTTTCTTTCGTACTTAGCCATTTTTTTCATGTAAACAAACCAACGAGATGTCGTTGAAGCTGAATTAAGATCTTGCAAAAAATACAGATGCAACTGAATTTCTTAATTAATCTAAAAGAACAAGACACTAACCCTAATCTCTCGGATGGTATGCGAGGACTAACCCAAATCTCCCAGGCGGATGCTAGACCATGCTAGACTAACCCATGTGCGAGGACTAACCCTAATCTCTCGGATATATGCGAGACTAACCCTAATCAGTCGAAAACTTATGCAAGGACTAACCCTAATCTTTCAGGTGGGTGCAAGACTAACCCTAACCAGTCGAAAAATGTGCAAAACCAACCCCAATCAGTTGAGTGACGTAAATCTTACGTCATAGTGCAATGAGCGCGCGGATCTTGCGGATCTGGGGACCGGTAAAGTAAAGTCTACCCTCTTTTTGCATTTATTTGTAGTGTCAACACCCTGGGGAATCAATATAGAGTTTTCTATATCATGTATATATAACACATATTTTGGAACGACTTTACTTTACCGGTTCCCAGAAAAACGCGCTAAAATATAGTGTCGCCGTAGGCGACTTCAATATATATGAGATCGCGTGTATATATAACACATATTTTTGGCATTATTATTTTTTTTTTTTTGAACATGTTGAATTTTTATTGAAAAATGTGTATTTTTTACAAGTTCTAACATCTAAAATATACCTTTAGCCCAAAGTTTTGTCAATTTTACAGGACCGAGTTCTAAGCGTCATTTATGTACATGTACTGATGTATAGCACAACTATCTTGGTAGATGAATATACAGAGTGTTTCAGCAATCATGTCCCGACTTTCCAGTTTAAATAAAAACATAAGCAAAAGAGGAAAAAGGATAAAAATAAATAACAAGTCATGTCTATATAATTTCATCAGTATAAACGTTAAGATAAAACTGAATCATTTATTCTGAATACAGACATTTAAAAAAAAAAAAATTGACATCAGAGGCAATTTTCCAATTAATGCCATGTGCCACATTCAGTGTTCCAAATTGCTGTGTTGTGTTTCTCAGGCAGCAGCTTCATTTTGTCTCCAAGTTCCCATACTGCTCAAATGTGGACTTAATTTGAAAAATCTGTTTCCTAGTACACTGTAGGGTGTCATCTGAGTATTTCTTTTTCAAAACTCTATTCACTGGTATATGCAATTTTTTGTTTGCAATAGTTTAGTGCAACAATATTCATATAGAAATCTTTTAACACCCATATGAAAGAATAGTTTTCTATTGTAATAAAAAATATATGGTAATTGTATCCATAGCATGATATATATTTTCTGTCGGGAAACCTACTATGAAAGAGAGTTATGTAAATATTTTTTTATTCAACAAAAATTTTAACTTCTAAATTCAGAACATTTTCAAATTTGATGAAATAGATGCCCTGTATATACAGGTATGGCACATTCTCTTGATTTAGCTATGTAGCTTGATTTAGCGATGAGGGTAGCAGATCAGAAATCATGGCTATAAAGCAACAAGAGGCCCATGAGCCACAATGCTCACCAGAGTCAATATGGCCCTGCTGTTCTTCGTCAGCAGATTTCTTCTCTTATATATTCATATGTAAAGCTTTGATCGCCTGTTCTAGGCATACCCTACCCCCAGGTGCCATGTTTTGAATGAAATTGAATCTAACTTTCTGATGATGCTTCTATATTCATATAACTAATCATGGTTTTTCTGTTCTTGAAAACCGAATTTTAAAGATGTCTGCCACCCTACCCTGGGGGTGAGGTCATGATTTAAACAAACTTGAATCTACACTACCTGAGGATGCTTCCATATCAATATGACAAATCATGGCTTTGTTGTTCTTGAGAAGAAGATTTTTAAAGATATTTCCTATATATATTCTTTTGTTAAACTTTAATCCCCCATTATGGCCCCACCCTACTACTGGAGGATGCCTTGAACAAACTTGAATCTATAATACTTGGGGATGCTTCAATATCAATATGACTAATCATGGCTTTCCTGTTCTTGAAAAGATTTTTAAAGATTTTTCCTATATATTCCTATGTAAAACTTTGATCCTCATTGAGGCCCCGCCCTACCCCTGAGGGTCATGATTTGAACAAACTTGAATCTACACTACCTGAAGATGATTCCATATCAATATGAATTATTGTGGCTTTGTTGTTCTTGAGCAGAAGATTTTTAAAGAATTTTCGTATATATTCCTATGTAA